CCTAAATGACCACCTCAACCCTCCCTTCCCACCACCCCCTTCATCTCTCTGTCACCCTACTGATCATTATGACCTTTGCGTGTCGGTGCCATAAGTGTCAAAGTGCCAAGGTGCCACGACGGACACTTTATCTGGTCGGCAGTTTTTGTCACGGGTGTTTCAGAGCTGGGAGGGGGGTGGGAAGGAGAGGGAGGGGAGGGGTAAGGAGAGGGAGGAGGAGTGTAAGGGATAGGGAGGGTGAGAGGGGGGGTGTGAGGGAGAGGGGAGGGGGGTGAAGGGAGAGGGGAGGTGAGGGAGGGAGTGTAAGGGAGAGGGAGGGGGGGGTGTAAGGAGAGGGAGGGAGAGGGGAGGGAGTGTAAGGGAGAGGAGGGAGAGGGAAGGGAGAGTAAGGGAGAGGGAGGGTGAGAGGGGGTGTAAGGGAGAGGAGGTGTGTAAGGGAGAGGGAGGGGTGTAAGGGAGAGGAGGGAGGGGAGGGAGGTGGAGAGGGAGGGTGAGAGGGGGGTGGGAGAGGGAGGGTGAGAGTGGTGTAAGGGAGAGGGAGGGTGAGGGAGGGAGAGTTAGGGGGTGGAAAAATGAGGGCATAATGGGATGGGGAGAATGTAAGGAGAGTAAGGTGAGAGAGGGTGGGTAAGGGAGGGGAGGGTGAGGGAAGGGGGTAAGGGAGGGAGGGTGAGGGAAGGGAAGGAGGGGAAATGGGATGGTAACTTTTTTTTGTCTCTTTGTCTTTGTCCAAGAGGATTGTTTGGAATTCCGGTGTGGGTGGTGGTCGTGGCTTGTGGTGGTCGTGGGTGGTGGTCGGTGGTTGGGTTGTGATCGTGGGTTGTGGGCGTGGGATCGTGGGTTGTGATCGTGGGTGGTCGGGTTGTGGCGTGGGATGTGATCGTGGTGGTCGTGGTGGTCGGGTGGTGGTCGTGGGTTGTGGGCGTGGGTTGTGAGTTTTGGGTTGTGGGGTGGGATAGCGGGTTGTGAGTGGTAGATGGTGTAGATAGTAGGCGGTGGGTGGGATAACTGATGTGGATAGTAGGCGGTGGCTGGGATAGGTAGTGTGGATAGTGGGCGGTGGGTGGGATAGGTGTGAATACTCAAGGGTGGGGATGACGTACTGTAGAGCTTGTGGTCGTATTTACAAAGTCTTAACTATCTGGTCGTGGAGATTAATTAATTAGTCGTACTCAAGGGGTTGTAAGTGGTGTTGTTAATGAGTTATGAAGTTGTTAACAAAGAGTCGGTGGAAGTTATTGTGGTGTTGTGACGGTGGAGGTGATAGTGGTGGTGTGGTGGTGGGGGTGGTTGTGGTGCTGGTTAGAGTGGTGATGTTGGTGGTGCGATGGTGATAGTGGTGGTGGTGTGATGGTGGTTAGTGATGGTGGTGCTGGTGATGCTGGTGATGTGATGGTGGAGGTGATAGTGGTTGTGCTGGTGATGGTGATAGTAATGGTGGATGTGGTAATACACTAACCCCCTCTTCCACCAAACACACTTCTCCCCTACAGTAAATGAGGTATTCCCCCACCCACTGCCCCCACCGCCCCACTGCCCCCACTGCCTCACTGCCCACTGCCCCCACCGACCCCCACCGCCCCTGGAGGACCTCTTGGACCGGGTTAACACAGCCTAATAAATTTGCTGTTGTTGTTCAAGCGATACTCGGATCATCTTTTTCTCCTTTTATCAGCCTTATCGGCTTCAGGACCCCTCCGTGGCCACCTCGACGTGACCTCTGACCTCTTATCCATTTGTTCGGGTCACGGAGGCCAAGAGTCAACGTGGGGAGGGTTCACGAAGCAGATTCTTGGCCGAAGATGCCGCTGGGGGGAGGGAGGGAAGGTGGGGGAGGGGAGGAGCAGGTTAGGGATGCTTGAGTCGTCGAGTCGTGTTCCTTAGTCTGGACTGGTCATGGACTCGAGCCGGGTGTGTGTGTGTGTGTGTGTGTGTGTGTGTGTGTGTGTGTGTGTGTGTGTGTGTGTGTTTTATTAGAAGGTATACAGGCAAACATCACCAGGAATACTTGTTTGGGATGAATGTTAACATACAACAGCATGGAGGTTTTTAATCGTACTTATGTTAATGAATGTTTGTGAGTGTTTGGAGGAGTCATCTATGCGTGAGTGTAGTGATTGTTTTGAGTGTTTACAAGACACACTTATGTTTAGTGTGTTTTCAATAAGTGTGTATGAGTTTGTATGAATAGCGATGTTTTTGATTCTTGAATGTTATGCAATTGTTTATCTTTGTGACCCGTAAATTGGAGAAAATTGAATCATAGTTGTGTTTTGGTGTTATTTTCGATGTTTAGATATTTTTAGCTTAATTAAAAGCGGTTTTATACATTAACGATATAAAAATAAGCGTTCGTACTTTTGAAAATCCAGAATTACATATTTATAATCAACCATTACTCTTTAAACGTTTGTGATTCACGTTTTCTGTATTATGCCCGAGTATCCCTTAGACACCCGTTTTCTTTAGTTTGTTTACATTATTACAGCACATCATTGTACTCGACTCCCACTTTTTGTACCCACGATCACTGTAATCCTGTACCGCTGTAATAACCTCAATAACCTGCCCTTACTAGGTGTTTTAATGCTGTTATTTTCACGTAATTAATGACGAAATAACAGCGTATGAAAGCCACATTATTATCAAGTGTCGAAGGAATATTGAACTCAACTGTACATATTTTCAAGAGTCCGAATCTATGGGGAAATGGCTGTAGTAATAGTAAGCTGTTATGTAGTATTAAGTAATAGATAAGGAGAATGGCTAGTTTATTATCGAGAATGACGTGTGTGTGTAAGTAGTAATATTAACTGAAGGGAGAAAGAATGCTAGTACGTCAATATGAAAGAAAGAAAGAAAGAAAGAAAGACAGGAAGATGTGCCAATAAGAAAGAAATAAAGTGTCTGTAAGAAAGACAGAAGGAAATAGTAAAAAAAAAGTGTGTTGGAAGAAAGAGAGTAAAAGAAAGAAAGAAAGAAAGATCCAACTTATTCTACGAGCTTCAGATTCTCAAAAATTCGTATCTTCCATTTTCTTTCCAGGAGACTCAAGGAGAGACACCTTGAACTGTCTCACATAGCCTACGGTATACAGGTGTTGGATGGCCAGGTGGGAGATTCTTAACGGGTCCTGCGATTAATTATTTCCCTTATTGCCAGAAATTAGTATTCATCTATATTGGGTTTATTTAAGCTGTTGCATGTGTGGAGGGCTACATCTAGTGAGGGAGGGGCAAAACAGTAGCTATTTAAGTTATAGTACATATATTACCAATATGGTGACGAAATTACTTTGAAACTTTATTTATAATTTGAAGTATTATCTTATTATATTACTGAGGGAAAAATATATAATAATTGCATTTTTCGGGGTAGGTTGGGTGAAAATGGCGTCGAAATTGCCCTGAGACTCGACCTTATCTTGATGTAAAAACAAGTAGTGAGCTTTTTATTATGAAGAATTTCTCGTATAAAAGCCTTTTATTATCAACTGTGTCCGCCTATTATGACATGACGGATAATGTTCTGGTTCTGATAATATTTCGAGTCAATAGTATAAAAAATTAAGCATTTTTAATTATTTACCTTTCCAGACAAATTACCGAAGACTTAACATCTGATAATTATGGTTGGTGAGGCTAATAGGTTAATTAGCGATGGCGTTAACAGCACCTGGCAGAATGAAAAAAAAAAAAAGACCCAGAGGTATATAAATATTTAACTTTGTGTCGACGCCATTATCTTTACACTCCCTGGAGACGAGGCGCTTATTAAGAAGACAAGTAATAAAACTCAAGAGGACCTGGACCACCTAGAGGGAGGAGCCCAGACCCACTGAAGATAATTTATTGTGTTGTATTTGACTCGTTCTTGTTGCCCCTGTTGTTTTGGCTCGCTACTGTTGATGTTGTGGTAGGTAGTTGGTGCTGTTTTTTGGTGCTGCTGTTACTGGTGGTTGTGCTGTTGCTGTTCTACTGTGTTTAGGATCGTGGCGCTATTTTGTCTGCTGTTTTCTCTGTTTGTAAGAATTGTATAATGCTGTTCCATTCTCCTGCTGCTGTTACTGTAACGAGTTCTTTTACTGCTGGAGTTATCTTGTCTGCTTTTTTAATGCTGTGTCGTCTGCTGTTGTTGTTAACTCGATTCAACTGCTGGCGCTAACTGTCTGCTTCTGTCTGCTGCTACTGTCTTGTCTGCTGCTGTCTTCTCTGCTGGTGCTAACGTGTCTGCTGCTGTGTCGCCTGCTGTTGCCAAGGAAGGCGGCTGTAAACTAAAGAAAGACAAATCGTTCGCATATATGGCAAGTTGTTAATAGCCCCGCTGTGTTGAGTGTGTTTTATAGCTTCCCTCACCACCTGCTTATACGACCACCTGTCAGGAACACACCATCTGACTGGGACGCGCCTGCTGCCTAGACACACCATCTGACAGGGACGCACCAGCTTCTTTAACACCACCTGGAAGGGATTAGCCATCTGGATACACCAGCTGGTAAGGATGAGACCTGATATCTAGCTGGTTCACCGCCTGGTATACCACCTGATGAAGTCAAACCATCTGGCTGAGTCCATCTGTCCCAGCCATAACCCGACACAGCTGGTATTGGTCATACGAGAAGAACCATCTGGCAGAACCGAGTGCCCAAGTCGTGGTTCAAACCACCTGTCGTGACCATAAAAACTCCCACAGGCCCCAGATGGTATTAGTCAACCACCTGAGAGTCAACCATCAACCAGAATTCTCTATCTACAGCATACACTTACAGTACAGGTGAGGTGGAGGCAGGAGGAGGAGGTGAATGGTTACGAGTGTTTATCTTGAATGTTAAGCGTTCCTCACAGACCTCCCTCGGCCTGTTGCTTCATCCTTCACCCTACAGTGAGCAGAAGGATCCGTTAATGTCCAGGTACTGAAACCTTGACCATGGAAGAATGTTGAGGCGTTGGAGCCTCGACTACGGAAGAATGTTGAGGTGTTGAAGCCTCGACCAGGGAAGAATGTTGGTGTTGAAGCCTCGACCACGGAAGAATGTTGAGGTGTTGAAGCCTCGACCAGGGAAGGATGTTGAGGTGTTGGAGCCTCGACCACGGAAGAATGTTGAGGTGTTGAAGCCTCGACCAGGGAAGAATGTTGAGGTGTTGGAGCCTCGACCAGGGAAGAATGTTGAGGTGTTGAAGCTTCGACCAGGGAAGAATGTTGAGGTGTTGAAGCCTCGACCAGGGAAGAATGTTGAGGTGTTGGAGCCTCGACCAGGGAAGAATGTTGAGGTGTTGAAGCCTCGACCAGGAAAGAATGTTGAGGTGTTGAAGCCTCGACCAGGGAAGAATGTTGAGGTGTTGGAGCCTCGACCAGGGAAGAATGTTGAGGTGTTGAAGCCTCGACCACGGAAGAATGTTGAGGTGTTGGAGCCTCGACCAGGGAAGAATGTTGAGGTGTTGAAGCTTCGACCAGGGAAGAATGTTGAGGTGTTGAAGCCTCGACCAGGGAAGAATGTTGAAGTGTTGAAGCCTCGACCAGGGAAGAATGTTGAGGTGTTGAAGCCTCGACCAGGAAAGAATGTTGAGGTGTTGAAGCCTCGACCAGGAAAGAATGTTTATTTACCGTCTATTGTCTATATAGTGTCTATCGTCTATCCACTAATGCCAACTCTACCGTCCATTACCATCGAGGTCCGGCCAGTCGGTCCAACACAGGTGGTTGAGATGCAAATCGTCGGCGTCAGGAATACAAATGAAAAGTTTTGGGCAGGGATGGTGTTGTGAGCTTTAACTTGTGTTTCTTTTTGTGTGTTTGGGCTATTGTTTGTTTTTTAATGTTTGGGGGTTTTGTGTGTGTGTGTGTGTGTGTGTGTGTGTGTGTGTGTGTGTGTGTGTGTGTGTGTGTGTGTGTGTGTGTGTGTGTGTGTGTGTGTGTGTGTGTGTGTGTGTGTGTGTGTGTGTGTGTGAGTAAGGGGTAGGAGGGAGGCAGGGAGGGGAAGGTAGTGATAGCTGCACAGTTGGTAATGATGGTCGAGGTGGGAGGTGGCACGACTTTGGCCAGGTCTCTGCTGGACCTGGCCCGGCTGAGCCTGGCCTCGGCAGGACTTGGCCTCTGCTGGACCTGGCCTCTGCTGGGCTTGGCCTCTGCTGGGCCTGGTTTCTGATGGACCTGGTCCCTGCATGACCTAGTTTTTGCTGGGCCTGGTCCCTGCAGGTCTGACCTCTGCATTACCTGGCCTCTGCTTGGCTTGGCGTCTGCTGGACCAGGCCTCTGCTGGACCTGGTCCCTGCATGACCTGGCCTCTACAGGATCTAGTCCCTCCAGGGTCAGTCAGGCATAGAGCCTGAGAGCAGACTCCCCTGGTCTCTGATCTTATCCTAATGGCAAGTTGCACCACCAAAACTGTCCTGCCGACAACGGTTTAGCCTTCATCACCGCACACGAGGTCAGGAGGTCAGCCCAGTGTGTGTGTGTACCTGTGTAAATTACCTCCACAGTGAGGAACATGTGGGTCTACCTACCTACATAACCTACCTAAGTTAGGTTAGTTTGGCCGAATTAGCTTAGGTTGGACCTGGTTAGGTTAGGTTAGGTTAGGTTAGGTTTGGTTAGGTTAGGTTAGGTTAGGTTCCAGGTCCAGTTATCAGTAAATACCTCCCCAACTCGCCTCATAGATAGCCATCCACAGCGTCCTACTCCCCTTCCCTCCCCTTCCCTCCCCTCCCCATCCCTCCCCTCCCCATCACTGAACATCACCATCGGCGCCTCTTCCACCCTGTCTCGTCCAGTCTCTCATGGTGTCTCGTTAAGTCTCTCAGTCGTGATATATCGCCAGGAGACTCGACAAAGGTCTCATCTCTCCCGGTCAAATCTCTCTCGGTCAAACCTCTCCCGGTCAAATCTCTCCCTGTCAAATCTCTCCCTGTCAAATCTCTCCCGGTTAAACCTCTCCTGGTCAAATCTCTCCCGGTCAAATCTCTCCCGGTCAAATCTCTCCCTGTCAAATCTCTCCCGGTCAAACCTCTCCCAAATGTCCGTCTCTCCCTGTCAAATCTCTCCCTGTCAAATCTCTCCCGGTTAAACCTCTCCTGGTCAAATCTCTCCCGGTCAAATCTCTCCCGGTCAAATCTCTCCCTGTCAAATCTCTCCCGGTCAAACCTCTTCCGGTCAAATCTCTCCCTGTCAAATCTCTCCCTGTCAAATCTCTCCCGGTCAAACCTCTCCCGGTCATATCTCTCTCCCGGTCAAATCTCTCCCGGTCAAATCTCTCAGTCATGATACCCCGTCTCTAATCTCTTCAATCTAGTCTCTCTGTCATTCTGTCTCGTCCAATCTCTTTACCGTCCTGTCTGGCCGTCGTGATAACCTGTCTCACACCTCGTCTATCCCGTCCCTCGGTTCATCATGTCCTGTCCAATCTTTCTGTCTCGGTAACTTGTTTATTCTCATTCACGTTCCTCCCTCCCTCCCTCCCTCCTCCCTCCCTCCACTCCTCTCCCTCTCCTCCCTCATTCCTCCCCACCTTCCCTTCCTCCACTCACCTTCTTCCTTCCCTCACTCACCCTCTCTCCTCACCCTCCCCCTCACTCCACTCTCCCTCCCTCATCCACCACCCTCCCTTACCTATCATCCTCCATCACCCTCTTCCCTCCACCACCTCACCACCACCACCAGCCTCCCTCACCCCACACTCACCCTACCACCACCAGCCTCCCTCACCCTACCACCACCACCAGCCTCCCTCACCCTACCACCACCACCAGCCTCCCTCACCCTACCACCACCACCAGCCTCCCTCACCCTACCACCACCACCAGCCTCCCTCACCCTACCACCACAGCACATCACTGCCTCCCAGTACTCCACCACTGGACTCCATGTAATAAACTATCATACCATTGTGTGTACAGACGTGGACCTCCCCTCTCCCCCCTCTCCCCCCTCTCCCCCTCTCCGTCCCCCCTCTCCCCATCCCCCTCCCCCCACCTCCATGGCCGGTAGAGCGCAGGGGAGCCAGGTAAGACACGACCACAACACGCATTATTTATGTCATTATAAATCTCAAAGATAAAAACATTGTTGTGATGAATACAAGAGACTGCTGCCACAAGCTACCAGGGTCTTGTGGGTCACTCTCTTAAGTGTTTACATAGTGGTGTTATTGTTATTATTTATTGTTATTATTGTTATTATTGTTATTATTATTATTATTATTATTATTTATTATTATTATTGTTATTATTATTATTATTATTATTATTATTATTATTATTATTATTATTATTATTATTATTATTATTATTATTATTATTATTATTATTATTATTATTATTATTATTATTGGTTTATTATTGTTATTATTATTATTATTATTATTATTATTATTATTATTATTATTATTATTATTATTATTATTATTTAATATTGTTATTATTATTATTATTGTTATTGTTATTATTTATTGTTATTATTGTTATTATTGTTATTATTGTTATTATTTATTATTATTATTATTATTATTATTATTATTATTATTATTATTATTATTATTATTATTATTATTATTATTATTATTATTATTATTATAAGTTTAGTCATAAAGACCAATATTGTCGATTGCCCTCTGACATAGGAACGATTACAGATTTTTAAAGAACATTTACTGTACTCTCTCTCTCTCTCTCTCTCTCTCTCTCTCTCTCTCTCTCTCTCTCTCATCCTGCAGTAGTCTCAGGTACAGGTATGCAGCTCGTAAATTAGATCAACAAAGAGTTTATCTCCAGATATTGATCACCTGAGTCTTATTTCACCTCACCTGTCTGTAATGAGTTGATGAAGTATTTACAGTACCTTATGATTATGTCTTGACGGCAGCTGAGAGATGAGAGAGAAATGGACTGATACAAGTAGATAGAGAGATGTTTAGAAGGGAGGAGAGAGAGACAATAAGACTGAGATAGATAGATAGATAGATAAATAGAAAGATAGATAGATAGATAGATAGACAGATAGGTTTAGAGAGACAGAAAGAAAGAAAGGGACAGAATTAGACAGAGAGAAGTAGATATATATATATATATATATATTGACAGATAGATAGAGAAAGACACAGAGAGAGAGAGAGAGAGACAACGAGAAAGACAAGCTAAGACAGAGAGACAGAGGGAGATAGACAGAAATAAAGATAAAAAACAGAAAGAAACGGACAAAAGTGAGTTAGAGAGAGAGAGAGAGAGAGAGAGAGAGAGAGAGAGAGAGAGAGAGAGAACCATCCTACACTCACTGGCCACAACCTCCTTCACTATCACCGCCAGGGACCATCATTATCATCTTCACCAGATTGAGCGCAGTGCACCTGTTGCTGGGCGGGATAGGACGGTCACGAGCGCAGTTTCATCAGTGCATTTCCCAACTAACATCAGGGGAAACTGCGCATGTTTTCATTCTGCTGCGATAATATGAAGGTCTTAGTATCAACGCGTCATCGTGGCGTGTACACTGCTAATGCTCAGGATTACAATGGCGTTTCGGAGTGTTTTTTTTTTTTTTGCTTTGTGTTCGATTTACGATGAGTTGATTCGTCTGTTTTTCCGTTTTACGAATATTCGAGTATTTTCTATTTTTAGCGAATAGATGGGATTGTATTTTTAATTTTACGTATAGATAATGGTTTGTTTTATAGCTTATGGAGTGATAATTCGTTTAGTTTATATTATATGAAGAGTTAGTCGGTTGTTTTCGTTTAATATCCAGGTAAAGAAAATAGTTGTATACTCAAAATCGAGAGAAATACTTAGGAAAATATTCTTATTTTCCGCATAACGAAGATTTTTCCGTCCATTTACATATAACGAACATATTATAATATGTTCGTTAAGTATAAAATGAACGGATATGGTTTTGTTTAACGGAAAAGGTACGGATACGGATAATTATCCGTATCCGTACCTTTTCCGTTAAACAAAACCATATCCGTTCATTTTACACTTAACGAACATATTATCCGTATCTATTCCGTTAAACAAAACCATATCCGTTCATTTTACACTTAACGAACATATTATCCGTATCTATTCCGTTAAACGAAAATCCATATACGTTCATTTTACACTTAACGAACATATTATCCGTATCTATTCCGTTAAACAAAACCATATCCGTTCATTTTACACTTAACGAACATATTATCCGTATCTATTCCGTTAAACGAAAATCCATATACGTTCATTTCTCATATAACTAAGACATAATGACTCACCATAAATACTTAACAAGACACAAACAAGACACTAAAATTATCCTCATCAATACACCTTCCTCCTTCAAAGACAAGTAAACAATAAAAGAAATCATTATCAAGTTCTTCCTTACAAAAAAAAAAAAAAAAGTAAATATTCCATGGTCATAAAATTCAGCAAAAATATGTGACGCGGGACATTAGGCATTTGCATAAAACACACACATGCTGATAACTTTTACCGTCCACACCATAGAACGAATCTCACGAGGTCTGGGCAGTCTGGCGTCGGCGGCGTGTTTAACAATCTGAGAACACGGTGCCCCCTCTTCGAATCCATTTGTGGTGGTCTGCAACTTCTGGGTTATTGCAGGGTAGGGGGGGTGGGGGGTGGGGGGTTCATGACACCTTGTGGGGTTAAAAGGGTTGATATTAATGAGGTTTTTGGTGGTGGGGTTTGATTTTTTTTTTTATTATTTCTTAAGTTTATTGGGATTTTTGTTATTATTTTCTACGGTTTTTATGTTTCTATATATATCTTGAGTA